CAAGACGAACGATCGATTTCCTCCGGCGAATGCATAATTAATGCTTCGATTCTTGTGCTGCACGCGTCGCTACTATGGGTAGGAGCCAAGCGCTGCCTGGCGTATCCGCACTTTCATCGTCTGCCGTTCGCATTCTTATCAGCCGGCCGGCGCCGCGAGTCGACGGAGCGCGAGTTGTGCCCGCGCCCCCTCCTTCTTCTATTCTCTCGTCTTCTATTCGGCCAACAAGCTCCTCGTTAGCCAGGCACTGTGGCCACGATGACTCTTCCCCTAAAAATCTCGGCAGCGTCCTCGAGCGCGGTCACGTTTTCCAAGGCTCTCTTGCGCCACGCGAAAACTCTCCGAGTTTCTTCCGCGCGCGATCGCTGCTCGCTTTGTTCTCGCGTTCATGACTCAGCTTCGCTCTCTTGCTCGTTCGACTTGCGCTAAATCCCATCTTATTCCGCTTTCCAGACATTCGCTTCGCAGTTCATGCCGCCATCTACATCACGAATTACATACATCACTAGTTTTTTATGACTATACCGAACCGAGACAAATGCCTACGAATATATAGCGACCCTTGCAATTCTTGAAGTAGCAATAACAATAACGAATGCTCGACATCTTTCGATATACATCAGTAATTAATTATTCGGTCACGTTGATGCTCAAATTCAGTAGCCATTTCAAATCTAATAGCAATGCAGCTCCCGAGTTGTTCAGCTGTAGATAATGGGCAACGCACCAACTTTTTTCCGTATTTTTTTTCTAAATCGTACAGTCAGCTACGCTTCACAATTTAATTTTCTTTGTCCATGCTTTTTATAGGCATTATAGTACATTATTTTAACAAAAATACTGTTCGTTAGTTTTAACTAAAATCATTTACAAAATTTCCACTCCCAACAATCAATATGGCTATCACTTTTCAACTGTTAAATCCTGATGATTATCAACTTTTCTTTACACATGGAATTTTCTTTTGAATATTGTTTTTTTTACTGCCAAATGAGGTATAATCACTTCACGGCTCAATTTATATTATTGATGATATTTATTCGAAGGTAAATTTTATAACAAAGATATTCAATAGATGTCTATGTCCAGAGAGTAGAATATTGGGTCTGCTTCGTCGTATTATTTTGATGTTACTTATTTTTCAGTCAAATGACTTAATCGATAAAATTCGATGTTGAACGCCTAGAGCTATTAATTATCTCGCCAATTTGCTGAACATGTCAGCTGTTATGTTAAATTATACTATGCGACCAATACACGTACATATAAATATTATATCCCATCGCATAACAGTAATCTACATGACTACGTTCAGTCAATCAGATCACGAATAAAATGACTTTGCTCCGTAGGCCATCACTTGTTATGCAGGATACTCTCTCCCGCGAGTCTTATACTGATTCGGCATCTACGACGTACAGCAGCGGCCGTGACAACATTCCCCTCTCGATATAAAAAAAGTTGCCACGCTATCGACCAACGAATATTGTGAAGAGAGAGAGAGAGGACTTGTTTTCGCAATAAATTTATTCGCCGGGTGCGAGATGCATCCGCGGAAATGTCATTTTCTGCATTCGAGAACGCGTCATAACCGGTGCTCGAAGCCCTGTGGGCTTTTGGAATTCCAATTATAACAAGGCGTAACTCAACCCACTGACACGGTTAGGAACGATGCGATGCTTACGAGCAGCGCCACATGCTAATTAAAACCGTTTTGATTCCGCGCAATTCTCAATTGCCCAATTCAATACTCCTCGCTTCTTGGCCATCGTTCCTCCAATGAAATTGCTGCTTGTCAATCGTCACGCCAATGCACGCGATTTATTCATTACCGAATCGTTTATTTCGCGATGAAGAATTCGATTACCGTTTGAATGACTGACGCGACAGAGGTGACGTACGAGGACAGAAGCCGACAGTCCATCTGAACGAAATGGTCTATTGCGGAAGGACAAGGTTTTGCGCGCGACGTCAAATGTCTCCACGTGAGAAATTGCACAGTCCGTCGAGGAGGAAAATAGTCAATCGTGCCTAAGACACGTACGTCGGGCAGTCCGCGCACAGTTGATCCGTGCGAATAGGCGCGAGCTTCCTTATCGCCGCACGTCCGCGGGTTCGCAAACCACCACTCTCTCGACCCACGTTTTAACCCGACTTGTTTTAATTGACGCTATCTCGAGCAACAGGCGAACGCCCAAGTTCAGCTCGCCAAGCTCCCGTACTCGAGCGCCGTTGCTTTGTATTCCAGTTGCGGCTTCGTTACAATTGAAATCTTATCTGGATAACGAATCAGTTGAAGCTCCCTCTAAACCTTTATTGTTACAGCAACGAAGCTTCGCGACGTTTAACAATTTTACACGGCCGTTGGATTGCCGAGCCGTTCAACCGAACATGTCGACGAGCTCTCCTTCGCGAAACTTTCGCCGGTATTTATTAATTTACACAGACCTACGGATTGATATTGCCGGCAGAGGACGCACAACTTTTCGCGCGTCGCGCCAAAGTTAATACCCAAGTCTCGGCAGACCACAGTTTGGCGCGTGATAAAGTTCGAGGATAACGCGTCGGCTAAGAGACGAGGCTGCGCGATATCACAGCGATATCGGCCAATAAGTGTGTCGAACGGAAGGCGAGCATGGTGCAACAAACGACGAAGAGTGGCAGTGCGCGTAGCAGCAGCAAAAACAACGCGGAGAGAGGCCGAAATGACAAAGAGCGATCGTCGATCGGAGCTTGCGAGCGTGAAATTCAGTGTGCCGACGACTGGACAAGCAGAAGCAGACGAGGCCAAGTGAGAGAGCGAGCGGGTGGGCCTGCCGGCCAAACACCTCGTAGGCTTCAACGTGCTTGGCGAACTCTGGCGAAGCGCCGGAAGCGCGCGGCCAGAGAGCGGCAGGGCCGGAACTGCGCCTCGCGACTCTCCGTCGGCCGCAGCCGACAGAGACAGAGAGCGAATCTGAGCGGGCGCGATCCATTGAACGGTGACCGCTTGGCTCTAGCCACACACACACGCACACACCGACAGCCGACGGAGCGGAAGTTTCGCTCGCTCTGCCGTGGCTCGTTAATGCTCGTTATTGCACCTCCATTTACCGTCGCGTTTTGCGTTTGCCTCTTTACTTGCCCAGCCGCGCCACGTCCGCGCTAGCCACTCGCTTTGCTTCGTGCTCCAGATAAGCCTGCACACCGAGCAAACGTGCCGAAGCTGCCGATACAGCGGGACTTGTTTCGAAAACGCCCGTTCGACGGCTGCACGCGAGCGATGCGCAAGCCTTCCGACGTACGCGACAGGCACGCGTACACTGAACGATGAAAGATGCCGCGGCAGCTGCAAGCACACCGGCGTCGCGCTATAATTACTAGCTGCGAACGCACGCGGACCGTTAGACCATCGTGTTAATCGCGTTGGCCCGACGAACAACTTCAGAGAGAAAATGAAGAAGAGCGCGCAGAAGAGCAATGCAAATCCAGTCGGCTCTCTGTATATGCCTATCTGGAGTCGCGCCATTGCTGCCGGGGAGTCGATTACGCATTCAATTGTCGTCGTGCTTTCCGCGCGCTCGATGCTATCGCCGCAGCCCGACGGGTTTTCATTAGAGGCGCTCAAATTGAGCTTTCGTCGAGCTCTCTTCCCCGATATGCCTCGTTATCCCGCTGTTCTCATTATTGCGCATAGCTCTGCGTTCGGAGACATGAAAATGCGACAGTGCCGTAACTCGTCATTGACTGCCGAACGGAAAAGCGAATAAAACGTCGAGGCGGCAGACGTGGCTTTTACGAGCGCGCGACATCGTCGCGCGCAACGCCACGCGGACGCGCTCGTGGGTTCGCGCGCGGTGCGCTGCGACGGGCAGCCGTCCAAGGCAAAAGGGCCGCGAGCAGGCGCGCTTTCCCTTTTTCTTCCTCTATTTTCGTTTTCGGGGGGCGTAATTCGCGCGCACCGACGCGTAAAATAATCAAGCGATGGAAATTTACGCGCTCGTAAAAGCCGCGAGACGCTGACCGATCGTATATAACCGTCGCGTATACCTGCATATATAAGCTGCGTATAACGTGCAAAACGGAACTCCGCTTTACGAGGTTCGCCGGAGCCCGGCGTGCCTTGAAACGCACGCACTTGAAACAGCTGAATCGAGTTCGGCACGTACGCGGCGCAAAAAGGAACGAACGATAAAAACGGAGTGCAGTGTCGTCGCGAGCATATCGGCATGTTTACCGAGCCTTTGCCGGGGCAGACTCGAGCAAAAACGCGCTTGGCGATGCGGTACGTATTAAGTCGCAGGAGGCGCGCGGCGGCGGCTAGGCGGATCCCCATTGATAGCCGAAACGGCGCGCGCGCGTGCGTACGCGCTTAATTGGCCGTCGCGGGAGCGATCGCGCCTCGTCGTTGCTAGCGTGTGCTGCTCGCGTGGTGACGTCATCGCCGGCATCCGTTATACGCAGAAAAGAAAAGAGCCAAGGCGAACGGCATCCTAGTTGTTGCTGCTGCTGCCGTGCTGCCGATGACGATCAGCGCACATAACTGCATTTATTAGCACGCCAAGGTCGCAGCAGCCGCACAACGATCGATCTCTTCGCTGGACCTCTTTCGCGCTCGTTCGCTCCTTCCGGTTCTTGCTGAGCGCACCTGCACGTCGGATGCGCCCTTCGTCGGCGCAACCGCCCAAGCACGGCCCAATCGCGCTGGCAATCATCCTCGGCCGTCTGCGCGCAGACCGAGCAAGTCGATCGTCCGATCGATTCCGCCGGCCGCCGTCCGCGCGCTGTCGACGAGCAAGGAACGCCCTTGGAGGTGCTCATTTATAAATAATTTTGCTATTTCAAGACGCTAACGCCGCTGTGTCCGATAGGAGGTCAAGGCCTCTCGTCCTACGCCCCGTTCCCCTTGCGTTCCCCAACGAATTAGCTCATCCCGCCGTTGGCCAAAAATCAATGTCACTTGCGCAGGCAGCTGTCCAGCTTTGCGAATAGTACCGATTAACGAGCTGTTGTCATTGCAGAAGGTAGACCCCGAGCTCATCTTCACGAAGCAAGAGAGAATCGGCAAAGGGAGCTTCGGCGAGGTGTTCAAAGGCGTCGACAACCGGACCCAGCAGGTCGTTGCCATAAAGATCATTGACCTCGAGGAGGCCGAGGATGAGATCGAAGATATTCAGCAGGAGATCATGGTCTTGTCCCAGTGCGACAGCCCCTACGTCACCAAATATTTCGGATCCTACCTCAAGGTCAGTGGACGCCGCTCCTGGCAGCGACTCGAGCTTCCGCCAGCGCGCCGCTCGAGCTTCCGTTGTCCGCGTGCCGCTCGGCGCCCGGAACGCTGAAAAGCAATATGCGGGCCGGCCTCGGGTCCTCCGTAGGCTGAGTCAGCGCGCGACCGACAAAGATCAAAATTCCTCTTTCGCGAGTCAGCGCGAGCTCGTCGGAATGCGCTTCGCGGCCCGGAGTGCGAAGACGGCGCCGCGAGCCAGCGCCGCTCGTACGTGCTTTCCGCGCGCGACCGATCAGCCGATTCGCTCGCTCGTCGCGGCGCCGAGCGTCGAGAGCACCGTCAACGAGAAGACATCTCCATATTGAATGCGCGCGCAAGCCAGAGAGTGTGTCGGCGAATCGATAAATCCTCGCTCGATGTCACATGCAAATGGAGCCTCGCGGGCGCGAGCGTAAAAAAGCAGAGGAGGCGCGCGTGGGAATTAATTGATCTGCGCTCGTTTTGCGCCCGCTTGAATTCGGAGCGAGGTTCCCTCGCCCTTCCCAGCGGCAAAGTGCCAGGCCGCTTCAGCCCGAGCCACGCCTCGGCGTTTTTCGAGCTCCGCGCTACGCTACGCACCGCTGCCTCCGTAAATCTTGCGCGCAAATGATTTTCGCGTTTGTCAACTCTTCTCGTCGTCTTTGTTCGACGCGCTCGCGCCCCAGTAACGGCGTGCCCTTACGTTCGAGAAAACCTCGACTTACCAGTCAGGTTTCGCCACGCCAACTTGGTGCGGCCGATCGAACGATCGTCCGACGCGTAAAAACAGCTTATATCGAATAGCCCCATTAAGAGCGTCCGAGCTTCTCGTACAAGTTTTCTTCAGCGAGTTTACACGAGCGTTAGGTCATCGTTACATCGACGCTCGTGCGGCAACCGCGAGTTTTTGCCGCAGCCCGACGAGCGTTCGATCGCGAGCGCGAACGTTTCGAGTGCGACAGGCGCTGCAAGGCGGAACAATGCGATTGCGAAGCCGGCGTCGACGACGACGACGGTCCATCGGGAGGGAGCAGGCGGCCCACGCTTACCCCGACGTTACTCTGGCTGCTGGTCGACCTTCTTGCCGCGAGAGAGCAGCGAGCGCTCCAAGTCGACGACAGTTGTCCGTTCGCACGGATGTTCGCACACCTGCGCGTTGCTCAAGCTATTCTTCCCTTTTTCCTCTCTTCGCTCTTCGCTTGCTTCTCGTTTCCATCGGAAAGCCTGGGTGGAGCTCGTGCTTTCGATCTCGGAAACTTGCCGATCGATTGCGCACGCAGCATGTTGCAAGTTGATCGCTGGAAAACAACCTCGGGCTTGTAACTGACGAGCGCGATTCGTTGCATCGTCGCCGGCATCCTCGTGAAAATTCTCGCTGAAGAATGAGCTGACTGGACGTTGCGCTAACTTGGCATAGTATAATTCTCAGCGATAGAACATTGGATAGGCGAAATTCGTTGTTCGATGCGCTAACGGCCTATTTGTGGTCGAGAGAGGTTTTACGGCCCGAGATACGTTTGCCTAGCTTTCGGTCGAGGTAGTTAGCAATGCCATCGCTTCGGACCGACGTTCAAAGAGATCAAAGAGAGATGGCTATTAATTGTTGCGCTGCGCCAGTCGTCCTCAGTCGCGCTAAGCCCCCGCGAAAGCTTGGACGCGAACTGGTCCGACGTCTGGCGCTCGTCAAACGCGTTGCTTCGACTCGACGAGATAGCCGCGTGCTTTCGGTATGATTATCGGAAGTTCAATTTGCTAGACGCTCGAGAACGGAAAGGCCGCGGGCGCCAACTCGCGAAGCTCTCGAGATCGTCTTCGACTGGCGCCAACCGTGAGAGCACGCTGCACGCGCCGCTAATAACTCCGAGGGCTGAAAGGCAGGCTCGATCGAGAAGCCTCCGCGAGGGCCGTCTGTCCGGCTGGCGAGATCCAAACCACGGCCCGTCGATTAGGCAATGAGTCCGCCGCCCGTGGACGTGACTTTTGCTCGTCGCGCGAAAACCCCCAACCTCCGCTCTGCCAGCGTCGTTCCCTACGCGTCAACTCGGAAACGCGCTAGTTTTTGCTTGTTCATCGATCGACATCGCACCCGATCAAATAGTCCTGTTCTTTCACCGCTGCGAGGAAGCTGCAGTCGCCACTCGCAGGCACGTCGCGTCAACGCGCCCCTTCAACGGCACCGACTGCCTCTGATCCTCGAGAAAGAAGGACAGGTCACGTGACTTATCTGGCCGTTCGCGGGCATCGTGGCGGGCATCTTGGCGACGAGGAGCCTCGGAGCCCCCCCCCCCCCCCCCTGATCAGTGACGAAGCAAGCCTTGGCGCGACAAAGCCCCAAGTTGAACGAACTGCCTTTGCCCTGCCTCCTCGTGCGCTGTAGGGCGCGCGTGCGTGTCGGCTCGTGGCAGCGTCGGAGCCTGTCCGCGTGAAAAATGACACACCGCAATCGCTCCAACGGGGATCTGCGACGGAGACTGCCGGTTGGTCCGTCTCTTCGCTGCTACCCAGGCTGCGACAACGCGCCTTTTCCCGTCGACACGCGCTAAATATAGAGCGCCACGCAATTTTTATCGGCGACCGGGGCGTCGGGGGTCTGAAAGCCTCGTCGAGCCTTGACGAGTCTCCGTCACAGCAGCGCGCGATATTTTGCTCGGTCAGTCGCGCGTCGTGAAAGACGAATACCGAGGACCGCGAACGCGTTTGGCGCGAAGTCCGCCTCGCGGAACGACAGCTGTAAGGGCTGCGCGATAAATATGCAGACTCGCTCGAAAGTTTGACGATCAGCAGCGCCAGTTGCTCGACGTGCGGTACGCCTGCTGCCACCCCCTCCCCTCCCGACTCTCAATCTCGTCTGCTCCTGAACCGACGGCGCAGCCAAACGGATAGAGTGTACTTTTATGGACTTGCAGCCGGCCACTTTCTCGCGCTAGCGCTTGTCAATTTTTCAAAAACCCATAAAAAGTCGCATTTCGCCTCGCACCTTACTGCCGTTCTCGCTTGCATCATCCGTCTAACCGAACTCGTTTTCCCTCTCTCTCTCTCTTTCTCTCGTTCTGCTGGAAGAGAGAAGATTCGTTCGACTTTGACGCGCAACAGCTCGTCTTCTTCCTTATCCGACGCTACTTTTCAGTCTACAGAGCGGCGAGGTAGCTGCTCGTGGCACGAATACGAACAATAGAAATTTCATTATCTTACCAGTTGGTTCATTAGCGTAAGAAAACTTAACCTTGCGAAGCAAAACAGCAGGCTAAGTACTCGCATTGTTTGAATGTGATCAATGCCATAGAATTGGACGACTGGTCATGATCGGCTGAAAGAAGAAAAGGACCAGAAAACGGGAGAGAGAAAAGCAGAGGCGCAGATACGCGCGCGTATTTATCCCGGCCATTGGCGTCGCCATTATTAGTTATATTCAGCGGCAGCTTGCTTGGCTTTGCACGGCGCTCCGCGACACCCGGAAGGGAAATTATGGGCACTTAAATGCGCCGTTTAGCGGTCCGTCCCCGTCCCCTTCTCCCTGCGAGCTCGCGCGACTTCCTTATTCCAATTGTCGTAACGAGTGACATCCCCCCGGAGAAGGCGACGGCGACGATGAGATCATTCGTGTGGCCGGATAAGAAAATAGCCGCGGACCGGGCGAACGCAAGCTAAACGGGAAAACGGAAAACGGTGACCTGAAAAGGAGTACGCCTCGGTCGTATATAAAGGGAAAAATAAACAAAGGCGTCCTTGCTCTCTTATCGCATCGTTGGCAGGCCAAGCACACGCCTCCGACGCTCGGCCGCGACCAGCGGCAGCTCTCTCGCTCGCGAGACCGACGAATACGTCGAGTCGAGGCGCGTACAAGCGCACGGTATGCAATTAGCAAGTCGAACGCGGCCTCGCGGCTGTTTCGACACCATGCACGCCGATTGGCTTCGATCGATCAAAGCGTCCGCTGCGCTTCCCGACGTCGGCCTGGCCGCAGCACTCTCAGCAGTCTCCGTCGTTGTTCCGGGCTCGCGGCGGCCGGCCTACCCTGTACGCGCGTACGATCGCGCGCACGGCTCTGCCGACACTTTTAGAGCACCCGCTGATCGTTTATCAGTCCCGGCACGGCGACCGACGTCCTCTCGATCGTGCCGCTCCGTCCGATAATCAACGAAGCGCAGCTATTTCTGCCGAAGTGGACATCGGGGTCAAGCTCGCGTTCGACTCGCTCGCTATGAAAACGTCTTCTCGCGCTGTCGATCGCGAATCGATGCAGCGACGCTGTCCAAAGCTTTTCGAGCTTGCAAAGCCGGCCAACTCCGCAAATCGACCGTTCGCGATAATCGTACAAGTTACAGTCGTGTACGCGCTTTTGCTAATTTGAAACGGCCGCCGAGCGCACTGGCCTGAAATTGGTCGAGGGCGATCGAAAACGCTGTACGCTTGTAGGGCACCAAGTTATGGATCATTATGGAGTACCTGGGAGGCGGCTCGGCCCTGGACCTGATGAAGGCCGGCAGCTTCGAGGAGATGCACATAGCGGTGATCCTGCGAGAAGTGCTGAAAGGCCTCGATTACCTGCACAGCGAGCGCAAACTGCACCGAGACATCAAAGGTACGCGGGCTCTTTTTTTATTTTTGCAAGACGGACGCGGCTTGGAAATGGAAATCGATCGGACTAAACGAGACAACCCTCGGCGAACGAGCGAGCCTTTCACCACCCCCCACCTCCCACCGCGACCCTGTAATCAGCCGAAAATAATGAGTTTGCTGTCGGCCGCGAAAACTTGGCTGAAGATGGCTGCTGGCTGCGTTCCAAGCCTGCCCTCTTTGCTCCATTTCGCGCAACTTTACTCTAATCAAACTTGGCGAACGTTCGGCTAACGATCGGGCTAACGATCGGACTAACGATCGGACTAACGATCGGACTTTCCGCAGCGGCGAACGTTCTTCTGAGCGAGATGGGCGACGTGAAGCTGGCGGACTTTGGGGTCGCGGGCCAGCTGACAAACACCACCAGCAAGAGAAACACTTTCGTCGGCACGCCTTTCTGGATGGCACCGGAAGTCATCAAGCAGTCTGCCTACGACTCCAAGGTACACGACGTATCCCCCTCCACTTTAGCTTTGCTTCCTCTTCCTCTCCGTTTGTTAAACTGAGTCCGCTTGACGCTCGACTTCGTGCTGATAATGTTGGGCCGTTGACACCGATTATTCGATGTAGGTCGGACGAGGACGAGAATAAGTCGTTCGGACGGTCGACAATATCAAGCATTAGATTGAAATTAGCGGACATTATTTAGCAAGTTGAAGGTGGCATTTCTCGGCATATAAGCAACAATGTTGTTTGACATTGTTGCTTATAAGCCCGCGAATCGACATCGACGACGAGCAGTTGTAGCGGTTGGGCGAGCAACGAGCTGCAGCCGTGCCAAGTGTAGCCAACTCCTTGTATTGTCCGCAGGCCGACATTTGGTCGCTGGGCATCACGGCGATCGAGCTGGCGAAGGGTGAGCCACCGAACAGCGAGCTTCACCCGATGCGGGTTCTCTTCCTCATTCCCAAGAACCATCCGCCCCAGCTCACGGGTAACTACACCAAACAGTTCAAGGAGTTCGTCGAGGCGTGTCTGAACAAGGACCCGGAGAACGTGAGTGCTCAACAGTTATGGCATTGACCTTATTCCCTACTACGCACCCACTACGCACCTATTACGCACCCATCCAGTATCGGCATTTCGATAGTCCTCGTTCCGCGCAACGCTCGACGGCCTCAAGCAAACTTATCACCGATTTACAGTGGACCTATTCAAATCTGTCTTGCATGGATACGTGTCAAGATGCCCATAACTTCTCTTCACCCGCAACGTAGTCATTTTACATTTTTATTGTTTTACTGACGATTACCGACGATTCTCTACGAAAATGAAAATCAACACAATGAAATATCAGGCTTCGTGGATTAATGTCACTTTTCGTCTTGCAGAGGCCAACGGCAAAGGAACTACTCAAGTTCCAGTTTATCAGAAAAGCGAAAAAGAATTCGTACCTGATTGACCTGATTGATAGGTATAAGAAGTGGAAGTCTCAGCGTAGCGAAGAGTCCGAGACGGAGAGCGAAAATTCGGACTCGTGAGTAACCTTTTTGTTTTTATTCGTATTATCGTGGCCGCTTTTCGTTAACATTCTTTTTTAACAACAGAGAAGAATCGAAGCAAGACAGCGATATGGACGAGCCATGGATAATGACAGTGAAGGGGCCACACGGGATTAAGGCATCCTCCGTGGTTCCCATAACCAATTCTCAACAGGAGGAGCAACAACCGGCCTCGCTGAGCCCCAGCCATACGCAAAACCACAGGCCTCAACATAATCAGCATAACCAACAACAGCAACAGCAACAGCCTCCTAGGCCACATGCAAACGGAGCCTCCAGGTCGCCGCCTAAGGACTCAAGTCTTAACCACTACAAAAACGACTCGAGAGAGTCTTCGCGAGATGGATCAAATAAACATGTACAGGTAAAACTATAATTTCAAGGGAACGTCTAGTGCGCTCAATTGATGAGCTATCGGAAACCTTACTCGACCACTTTCTGTTTCGAATAAAAACTAAATATAAACAAAATTACAGTCCAGATCACACGAATCATCGCAAAGAACGCCGTCGTCGGTAGACAGCAGAGACAGTCGCGATCGCGAGTACCACGACTCTAGCCGGGACTCGACCTTGAAGGGCGGCAAAATGCAGCGTAGAGATCGTGAACTAGAGATCGAAGAGAGAGAACATCGAGACAGAAAGAGTAAATCAGAGGTGCCTGTAGAACATCGGTCCAGCTTGGATGAAAAGAAACTACAGAGACCAAGAAGCTCGCAAGAGCTCAAGCATCCACGTGCCCCTGTCCTCAATAACGTTATTTTCCCACTTTTGAACGACGTGAGTTTACGTCAACTACCATAATTACAGTCAATTAGTTCAGATTTATAATGCTCGCTGAATTAATCTTTATTTTCAGTTGCAGCGCAAGTATCAATACACCACGAGGGACAGTGGCGACAATAGCAATTCAAGCAGACACAGCGGAGCGTTGGATGAACTAAGAGGTGCCTTCGAAGTTGCGGAGAGGACGTCGCCCGGTATGAGCGAAAATCTTGTTAAGGAAATTCTTAAAACGCTACTTCCAACCAACCATTCGGATGCTCGACTTTCCATGTTGATGGAAAAAGTTATGACAAAGTAGGCATTTCCTTTTTCTTTAGATTTTTAGCGTAACTGTAACATTTTATTCAACATTTCACTAATAAATGTGCTTGTTCAGGGATACGTAGGGAAGTGAGAGAGCGAGGATTCGCAGAAGACTGTATTCGGAAAATACGCTAACACTTTAGACGATTGGTTATGCTTTTTGGATTTACCAAGATCGTCAAGTTTATTTACGATACCTGATTTGCAGTACCAGCTCCCCAAATCCTGCTGTACGAGTCTGACGTTTGACTTCAGGTTACCGTGATCTCGCAGGAATTGCGTTGCACCTGCATTTAGGTTTTCGTTCAATTTTTGCTTCGTTTTGTTCTTGAGAGTAAATGTAAAAAAAAATGAAAAAAAAAACTAAAACTACGCAAAAAGTTACGATAACAATTAGGGATCTTTGAGCACGTAAGAACGTTCTCAATCACTGTCAAATATGTTTCCATCAAACTTCATTTTCTATTATTTGTTAAAAGTTTGTATAATGTGGCTATTAGTCGATAGGCCAGCAAATTTGTTGACTTGGTCTTGCCTCATTGCAGAGCTATTCCAAGCTAGCGCTAGTTTCTCAGTTGCCTGAAATATTTCACTATCAAAAGATTCATAAGAAAGAGAATACATAATTGTGATTATTTCAAATGAATTATGAAAAGTAATTATTTATTCACTTTTTATTCAAGTACTATTGTTGCAGTGCCAAATGTTTTAAATTTCGTGTAGAAAAAAAGATAATTAAATTAAGACAATGGCGTTTTAAAGAAAATAAAACCTTCAGTACAAAATATCAAAAAGGAAAATTAAAAAAAAAACATAAGTATGATTAAAAAAAAGTAGAACACGATTGTAAAGTAAAATGAACCTTTAGATATTAAGAGCAAAATGTATTATCATATATAACATGCTTTTTAAAAAGTAGCCATCGAATTCAAAATATCACCATATGATATTTTTCCACACATGTAGCTCTTAGAGCTAATTATTTTTCATAATTCATAAAGACAAGAAAATGTTGAAGACTGCCTCAACCTTTTCCCTTTGCTCGTAGTAATTGAAAAGATAAGTGCCCCAGACACTAGTACTTTTTTTGAAAAATATAGCTTCTGCAGAGAAACGTTTTTAAACAAGATGAACAGTTCAAAGCAATGCTAGTGGCATGCGTTGTTAATTTTAAATTAAAAAAAAATGATAATATACGTTACGAATTTTGTTTGAGAATGAGTGAAATCAGAAGTAGAAAACTCTTGGCCTCGTTGCCAGAGGCTCTGTAAATATGTATTTAAAGCGTTATAATAGAAATCTTGTTCTAATTATCGACGTGCCTGCTAAATCGTCCTGAAAGTCCGTGCTGAAAAATCGCAGGATGCATCCTGAAATAGTCAAGGGAGCAGAGTTATTAATTTTGAACAATAACAAAAAAGATGATATTCAGCCAATGTTGTTACTTATAAAGATGAAAATAGTGTATACACATAAGTGCATCATAAGTGAATAAATATTTAAATATGACATTTGCTTAATTTTATTTTAGATATACTTCACGCTTAACATTTGATTTCAGACGTAATTACTTGATTTTTCATGATTGTCAATTGAATAGTAGTATCAAAGACAATACAATGATTACTTTTCCCCTTACTAGGCTTCATTATTCTTTTGCATATAGCGAAAAGTTTTTGAACAAGTTGCAGGACGTCGATGCTTAAAAATCTACATTGTTTGTAAATGTGAACTAATGTATTTTATAATAATTATAATATATACATAAATAAATATATAATTCGTAGGTAAATTACTCGCGAGAATAATGATGAAAGATAAATCGTGATACAAGAATGATAGAATTCAAAGACAGGCAAAGCGTGAGTCAATACAAAACTTGGTGAGATTATCGAAAATAGAGCTATTATTAAAAAGAAATGAAATAACAATGTAAAGTCAAATGGAATAAGCCTAAGTAATAATTATTAGCGGCGAAAGAATGAATGGCAAATGCAAACATAAAACACAGACACATAACTAAAGGTAAGGTCAAGAAAAATAAGTAATTAGATTGAGATTACTTAGAGGACATACGAAAATTTTGTTACAAAAATTCAAGCCAGAGCATGCTAGAGTGTTAGAATAATTTTCGGCAACGCATTCAAATATTGCTCGACTAATTAAATATTGCAAGTTTACATTTATGTTTGTTACATTTAAATCGAACCAATTCAATGAATATAAATTTCAAAAATCAATTTCACGTCGCTGCCATCCTGAATCACAAGATGCAATGTTATATCTTAAAATTTTGCTTAATTTTTAATAACTTCGTTCAAAAAAGAAATAAATCGTTTACTTCTTTTTTTATTAAACTTAAAAATATTTTAAATTACGTTAATTGTATTGTTGTGTAATGAAAATAAAATTATTTCATAACTTGATATTTGATACTCAATAATCCTCTGTCAATATTTTATTTACTTGTCAGTTTATGACTTTTTTATTTATTGAATAACTACACTATTACATTTAATATTCAGTAAATTTATTATTAGTTAATTTTTTTAATTGTTGTGAAATTTAAAAAAAGATATAAATTCAATCATTCTCAATATCATGAAAATTTATAATGAACTGCATGGAATTTTATGAAATTTTTTTGACTTCAAACGCCCGGAAAAGTATCAAATGTTTACAGTTTTTTTAAAAATAAGTTGCATTAATGTCAACTGAGATCGATAAACTTTAGTTTTCTTTGTTTGCAATAATTAAAGTACTTTAAGAAAAGGGTTTAAGTACAGTAATTTAAATGAACCAAATATTCTCTCTAGACTGTGTTTTTAATTATTACAAATCCTGAGTTTATTGATGTACTCAAATGATTATGATAAGTTTGGTTAACTTAGTATGTTGTAAAGGAATTTAAATTGAAAAATTTGTTATTGAATACATAAATACATGTCAATTTACTAAAGAAAGGATTAATCACATTATTAGCCATTATTTTCTTTTTTAATTTTTGATTTTTTAAATCTCACTCTATGAATTTTCTTCCCTGTAGATTTTCGTAAAATAAAAATTGGATGGCTCATATGACAGTCGTTAAAAAAAGCATCAACAGATATATTATTGTGAATCTTTTCTACATTTGCAAAATAATAATAATGTGAAATATATACGTGATGATTAACTTGTTAGCCTTGCTTTTTATCAATGAAAATATTAAAAAAGTTAAATAACAAGTAGTGTTATATAGTAAAAAAATTATTTTGTTGCAGTATTATTATAATATTGCATTAAAAACTAACAATTTTGATAACTAATGTTTGTTATTAATATTGCAAGCAAAAGAAAGTTGATTGCAATATTGAAATTTTCAAATAGATAGCACTTAAATAAAGCTAATTAGTTGGTATACATAAAGTAAAATTGAATCATCTCGTCTACTGATTTGACCACACTGCTATTAAACACGTATTAGGTATCTGATTAGAAAAAAGTACAAATAAAAGTATCCGTGGAAATAGATAACGCTGAGAAGGGAAATGAAGTATCGAAGAGAAAGCAGTTTCGACGGCCAAACAACGAGAGCATTCGATCGTCTGGCGCGTATATCCGCGAAGAGACTAGGCAGGGGATAAGCGATGAGACGAGATGAGACGAGATGCGAATTGGCCGGTGTACGCGGCGAGAAGGGCAGGGTAGGGCAGAGCGGCGGCGATGGCCGTCGATAAGGCAGCGGCGATTAGCGGCAGCGCGCAGGTCTCTCGGTGATAGAGTTGATAAGAGGAGAGGGGCTGCCGTGCTGTTGTTGCTGCTGCTCTGGCCGTCAGTCGGCAGCATCCCGTCGGCTTGGCTGCAGGAGCGAATCAACCGATCACCTGGTTACACCGCTTGCTTCTTTAGCGTACCACGCTCTTTTCGCTCTCTCTCTCTCTCTCTCTCTCTCCCGCCGTCCTTCGCTTCGTCCTCCTCCGCCTAGCTTCTCGCTCGTCTCGGATCCAGTTCACGGGTATAGGGCAACAAAGCGGTAAGCCAGCGACAACGCGCCACATCGTTACACACTCGTGCTGTCCGCACGTAGATTCGACAGCGGCAGTCGTGCACTCCGTTGCCAATGCGCCAGCTTCGTCGGCGAGCACCGGCGGCGGCCGGGCGGTCCACGATACACCCGCACTCTCAACCTTGAACCGCACTGCCCCGCAGCCTCGCGAGCCCGCTCCAGTCTACTGATTCGACGACGAGCGTCCTCTCGTTCGCTAACGGTTCTCCGAGCCGCGCTCGACAATGGCAAAGCGCGACGAGTGAAACCGCGACGAGCACAGCCGAAAGCTCGTAGCTCTCGAGGCGAGAATGCCGGCGGCCTGCGCGACTTCGGCACTAGCTGGCCCGTGGCGCAGTGTGCGAGTGCAGTGCAGTGGCATCGCGTACATTCGATGCGGGATGCGTAGGCTGCCGAGTGCTCGCGTATTCGAGCCTTGCACTTTCTCCTTTCCGCAGCAATCGGCTTCGAAAACCAGCTGCACCAGCAAATGCTCGACTTATTCATGACTTGGATGCTTTTCAGTTTCATTCATCGCTCGCGTTCGACAATCGCGTCCCGTTGGCCCGAGCTGGAAAGCTTGGAAAAGCTCGGTACAGCTGTCCGAGGCTACCGCACGGTGGTGACGACTGCGTGTGCGCGCGCGCGCGGTCGTAGCAGTGCGGAGCGTCGAGAGTCGAGTCCCCAACAGCCTCGCTGTCGACAGCGATACCGGCGAGAGCCACGGCCGCGGCAGCATCGACCGCAGCGACAGCAGCAGACACACCGACTGGTCGTGGCTTGCAAGTAGTACGTATGCCGCCGTTTATTGCGCACAGCCGCCGCCGCAACCCGTCCATTCGCGTTGCGCGCACACTCACTCTGTCTCTCTCTCTCTCTCTTCCTCTCTGTCAGACGCGCGAGCAACAAGCTACTTCTCGCACTGCGCCTCGAGCCTGCCTCTTTGTGCTATTATCACGCGTTGCGCTTGGCTTTATACAGCCTTCGATTTTCCCATAGGTTGCCTAGGTCGCCCGCTTTGCTGCGCGGACCTATCGGTTTTCACTTGACATTGTCGATGCCCACAATGCTCGCCTCTACTTTTTTGCAATCCAATCGCGGCCAACAAGCCGCTGGTTGTTCCAAAACAAAAGACCTTCTCTGCTCGCGGAGAGGGAGAGAAAGAACGCGTCTCGCAGTCGTACTCAAGAATTGTTAATAGACTTGTCAGAAGTCATTTGACTCGTTATCTCTAGCAGAACAACGAGCGGCGATACTCACTCGGCGAGTACTCGACACACTTTTGCCACGGCTTCAATTTCCTCTTTCTTTTTCACGAAACTCATAGTTCCACGTACACAGTGGCGTTGGACAATTTCACGGTTTCGGCGCCTTGCGGCAGTTTCGCATCTGGATTATTTGGTCGAAATAGCAAGCTTCAACGTTTGAAGTGCTGGCAGATTTTTAGACGCTAATAAAAGCCAGCGATTTAGCTTGAGCTTGGCTACGAGCACCGCGATACGTAGTTGAGTCGAGAAATCGAAATGCACGCTGCGCTTCATCGGCCAACCATTCGACCGCTTTCCCGTTTCTCAAAATGTTAGCTCGCAGCACCAATGCAGAAAACGCAGTTTATTCAATAAATGACGTTCAACGACGAGGATCAAGCGTCGCCGTTGAGAGAGTTCAATGGAAATAATTAGCGAAATGGCGCTGTAATTGACGAGGATGACTCTGTTAAAGCCGGCCGTGCGTAAATTAGAGGCGAACGAGCGAAGAAAGCTCGAGAACGGGGATAATTGAAGGAGGAAGAGGCAGCCGATGGTAGGGGCAGTCGAGTTTCCGCGGCTTTCGAGTAAGATCCAAAAATCAACGCACAGCTCGCAGAGTCGACGAAGCGGAGGCCCGAAGAGCCGCCGTCGGAGGCGGCTTATCGGCTGGCGAGCTCGCGGCGCGTGCAGCTTTCCAACGTCAGTCGGCGAAGGTGTGCCGCGCGCGCCGCCGCTGCCGCCGCTGCCGCCGTCGCCGCCGCCGCCGCCGCCACCGCCACCGCCACGCCAAGCTTCGCGATCCGTGCGCGCGCTGCGCCAGTCGGCGCGAGCTCGACCTTCTCCTATCACGTGCGCTGCGCACTCCGAGGCATCTCCTCGGCAGCGTCGTATTGCAAGGCAATCGCGTACACCTACGGAGCAGTAGCCGTGCGCCGAGTGCCGCCGCTGTTTGTGCCGAGTCAAGTGTTTCGGTTCGAATCTCGTCTTATCGCGAGTGCGCGCCATTGGCATTCGATACCGACTGCGTTCACGCCAGCCCGCTGCTATCTCGCTCGCTTTCAAGTCACTACTTTGTTACTCCAACCAACTAACTCTATTGTTATCAGCGATTAGTTCTACTAACGTTTTCATTTCGATCAATCTCACGCCGACTTTTATCCACTCCGATCAATTCCTTCCACTAACGCGTATTTCCGGTTTTTTACTTTTTAATTGCATTTCACAGCTTCTTATCTAGTTTCGTACGGCAATAAGCCGAAGAAAAGATCAAAGTCAAATTGGACATAGTGGTATTTGGTACAAGTTGAAATATCGTTGAATATTAACGAAAGCTGTGGACGACGAATGCGAGGATGAAAGGCGAAGCATCTTCGGGAGCGCAGATCGCAATTCGTTGATCTGGAAAGCCATTAATTGTGGTCGCATACCGGGCGTTCGTCACCCAGGCGAAGGTTCGCCGAACGACGCGGAACAACGTTATCGTAAAAAAGCGACTGGCCTTATCGGCGTAGCTCCGCGTCGAACGCCCGCGATAATCGGCCGCTCGGACTCTCTCGGCGCAGGTGAAGCGCGTCCTTCGCGATAAGCACGCGTGCAACTTTGGAACTTTCTCCTTGGCCGCGTGGGGGAGCGTTGTACGCGCGAGTATCGCGCGCACTTGGCGAGCTGCTTGGTGAAGCGCGACTGCGGCGAACAGTGCGCGCGTACACGCTCGCGCCAACGCCGAACGCTCGATCGCTCGCTTTTCGAAGCTAAAAGAAGAAGACGCGCGCGCCGACATCGCTGGCAAACGCGCGCCCAGGCGAGCGAGCCTTTTTTTTTTCCTTTTCAGCGCGCCTACGCCGCAGACTAGCTCCGCGTTACCCGGTCGTATTTTTACAACGAGTCTTCGATCGACGCAGCTCCTCGACTCCGGCTGAAAATCCGATGCGCCGTTATAATCGTCTCTGCTTTTACGTTATACCTATCCGTGGCTATTTATAGGGACGCGATGTACGAGCTCCTCATCCGTTGAACCGATTGCTCGCGAGGGTGTAATATCCAGAGTAGTCTTCGTCCGAAACAAGTTGTCGCGTCGTTCGAGTACAGACATAGGACGAACATCGTTTGCCGTTCGCTCTGCACTGGCGCACACCTCCGGCCAATAACTAACAATCAACTTTCGCTGGTCGAACGAGAAAATTGCTTGAAAAACTTGAGTAAATCCACCGCAGAACTGACGTATGCCGCTCATTAACATAGCTTCCCAATTCAAATCAGCAAATTATCTCCGTCGGGGCAGTGATGCATAGCTTCTACGTTTGGCTCGCGAATTCCATTTCAATTTCAATTAAAGAAACGCACTGCGCAGACTTTCCATTTGACTGTTCCATTGTGCTCGAATTTACCAGACACGCGCCCAATCAATCTATCCCCAAATTATTAGCCATTTCGTTTGATTTTCCTCCGTGCATACTTGTCTCTTCGTTCCAAGCATACTTCGCTCTATAAGCTTTACATAATGTGTACTCGAACTTATTGATAGACGCACTTTACGATTGGATGACATAGGTAACCGTTTGTCATTTAAATCCAACAGAACGATTTCGCGAAGATCACCGAAGAAACTGATCGTGATCAACTCGGAACATCTCGGTCTTTGGAATCGAGTGAATTTGTCATTGTTTCGAAGCCGAAAACGTTTTGAACGTATTGGAGCTGTTCGACAATTCGAAACCGTTGACACGCTTTTTAAGTGGCTTTGGCGTGTCTCTTGAATGTCACTCCGCACGGCAAGATTCACGCAACTCGAGAGCAAATACGTATCTCGGCTCGCGAGAGCTGTCGGATGTTCGAGCCACGCGCAGCGACTCAATTGCTTAATTCACGAGGTACCGCTAGCCCGAGCGCGTCCTTCTTTGTCGCTCGCTCGTCGCGGACAGCTCTCGCGATTTTCCACTCGAAAACACGGAGCTGCGACTGCGGAGGAGGCGCGTCCGCGACAGGCAGACCACTGTCGGCTTTCTCTGCTGGGCCACGAGCATTTCGGCAGCCTCTCTCTCCCGCCCGTCTCGCGGCGGCAGCTCGGCGATTCGTGCTGCACCTACGACAAAGGAATAGAGGCGGCGGCGCAGCTGCTCTCGCGCGCGACTCTACGTCGCTCCAACGAGCTGCTGCTGCTGCTGCTTTTGCGTAGCCAACGCCAGCACGAAGAGAGGGAAGCAGAGGCGGCCGAGTGTTCAACGAGCGTTGCGCGACTGGAGAGCGACGGAGGAGCCAAACGCCCGTCGTAAGTAGCTTCGCCCGCGACTTTGCAGGCCGAGAGGATGAGCCGCCGCGAGCGCGAGGGCAGAACGACGCGGAGAGCCGGGCTCGCGACAGCGCCGGCAGCGAGTGGACCGCGCGAGGAGTGAGCGGCCGAGATGACGGAGATGGCGCCCGAGTCGGCGAGGCCCAAGATCGAGATAGTGCGAGTGCCGTCGATCGAGCGCGCGGGCTCGAGGCCGCTGGACGGCGTCCAGCTGCGGGCGGCTTACAGCCACGTGCGCGTCGGCACCTACTGCCCCGAGCCCCCGCCGGAGCCCGCGCCGGAGCCCGCGCACGAGCAGCCGCCCGCCGAGCAGTCCAAGAAGTACAAAAAGTGCGTGTGTCCGGCCTGCCCGCCTGCCTGCCTGCGCCGCTCTTGGCCCCGATCCTCGGCATGCTCAAGCGGACGCTCGACCCCGTGTTTCAGGAACTTGGCACCAGTCTCGAGACTGCTCAGACGTCGTCATCGCGCGACGAGCCTCGCGACCAAGTCCTGCGATAACATTTATACCGTCAATAAGACTAACGGCTTCTTCGAATGGAAACACGGACGCAGTGGCCACGACGAGCAAGGTACCACCACCGGTCCGGACTGTCCACTTGCCCTCGGCGCACGCCTGGCCAAGCTGCGAATCAATCTCGATAACTCGCGCTCTCCCTCTCGTTGCAGATCGACAAAGTAGTAGCTTAGATTGGCGCCTGCCGAGGAGAGCAGATAAGAACTCGAGTCATTTAGAACGTCGAAAGGCATCGCGTAGCGCCGAACAGTTGTCTAGAAGCAACGCTCTGCAAACCACCAGTACAAAGTAATTTAACGCCAATTATTAACGATGCACCGATAACTTGTTCCACTGACAAACATTGCAAGCGGTTATTTATCTCGCGCGACTGCCAACTGACTTTGTAAACGAATACACGCTACTGTATCTCAGGTCGAAAATCGTCTCGTTGCTAAAACGTCTGTCGCCTCGGCTACCCCGGCCGAACAGGCCGAACAGCAAAACCTCGCTGCCGTCGTCGCCCAACGTCTGTCCGTGGGTGCAAGTCGAGTACTCGAACGGCGATGGGGCCGACGGAACTCGAAGCGGCGAACAACCTCAACGGTCGACCCAAGAGCCTGATTATAGTTTTCAACGCGAGCTTCAGCTCAACGAGATGCACAAGAGGGCCATCAAAGCCTCCAACTCGAGAGTGAGTGTACCCGGTAATGACCGGCTCTGCCATTGCATATATAGCCTTTTTACCCCTTTCCCCTCCGATATCCGTCGGTCAAGCCAAACTGTCCACTGCGAGCATTTGCCTTTTTCGAGATCCATCAATTTCATACAAATTTCACTTCTTCCTTGCGCTCCTTCCGTTGTATTCGTGAAATAACGCCTAGCTCTCCGTTTCATTCGCTCATCGACAAACATAATACTCGTATAATAATTTACATCAAGTTAAACTGCCGAAGAAACCTTGAGTCTGTGAAATCATTATTTTCTATGTAGGCGTACGACGCTCTTTGTGTACTTTGAATCAGAAAACAATCTTGAAATCCTACTCAAACTGATTGTCATTTGATCGAAAGTCTAATGATCAGTTTGTCGGCACAAATAAGCGCGAGTAAATTATGGCATCGAACTCAGTCAACTCAACTGATCAATAAACCCAGGGTATCTATCTACTCCGCAGCAAGAACTAGCCAACGACGCTGCGCCCGTATTCAAAGAAAACAGAAGCGTTCAACCTTGCCCACAACCCAATGTACATGTCCAAGAGAAACAGGACAAATCGGATCCAAATATCCGAGCGTAAGCCAAAATCAATTAATCTCTCGTATACCTCCTACATTTTCATGTGTTTATTACAATTGTCTTGTTCCCGCTCGATTTTCATCACTTATATAGCCATCACCAATACTAACAATTACTAATAAAGGTTTTATTTATTTTAATTATTACAACAACCTACGTATTTCTATTACTTGTACAAACCATTGTAGATTAGACCGATTTCTCAACTAAAAATTTTACTAATTGCACTCGTACTGCTTGCCAACAATATACACTAGTATAGCATGAATAAGTTTAATCCGAATGACTATTTTGAAAACTCCATTTTTCATCGATGTGCATATAATAGACAGTGTTAAAGTACCTAACGAAATTATCAGTGGCTATGTGAAAAAATTAATTTAACCCTACGTCTTGTCCCAATCCCTCCGGTTAATCAAGCGAGGAATCCCCAGATAGCAGGCAAATGAAAGCAGAGCATAGCAGCGAGACAGGAAGAGAGAAGAGAGAGAGAGAGAGAGAGAGAGAGAGAGAGAGAGAGAGAGAGAGAGAGAGAGAGAGAGAGAGAGAGAGAGACGGGGCGAAACAATTAGAGCCGTTGTCTGCTCGCTCAGCATGAATATCAAGCGTAGAAAGCTGCTGCTCGCGGAAGCTAAAACGACAAAAAGCAAAAAAAGCAACGCGCACGGAGAAGCCCGCGGAACATTGGCCATCGTCCGAGCGACGCTGGCTGCGGCGTGCGAGCGCGGGCTGACTCCCCATTCAGCGCTCGGCGCTGCCTGATCAATGAAATGCTCGCGGCGTTGCTCGCTCGGAAAGCTGCCTCTTCCGCTCTGCTCTCGCGTTGCCCGAACGCGTGCGTAGCCCGATCGATGCCGACTCGCCCGTCTATCTACGGACTGCAAATGTACGCATCGCCGACGACTGCTTCCGCCTGTGATTTTTTTTCCTTTTTTCTTTTACGCCAGATCCTAATCTAGCGCTCGACCAAACAAAACAACGACACGGCGAGCTGGCTCTTAATAAATCAATTTGAATTGCTAATTCCATTCGTTCTTGTTTGCAAGCCTGACACATTCAAGTCAGCACGCAAAAGTTCGCGCCTTATCTTCAGCCTGTTTGAATAATAATTTAACAAGTACGTACCTGCACTCAGATTCACGAAGGTGTTCAAACTGTTCATATCCCAAGTTTTTTTTCACGTTGCGCGCAAAAAGTATAATCAAAGTCACTATATTGCGAGGTCGCAAAGTCAAGATAAAGTTTTACCGTCGCGACGTTTTACTTCTTTCGCTTTTAAAAACAATGTGTTCTTTTTTTTCGATTTTTACCTGTATTATGGACGACTCATTCTGAATAGAATTAAAAATGTGGGTGTACATAGTAACTGGACATGTAACTTTGATAAACGGTCATAAATACTGGTGAATTTTATTAATACGAAAACTATATTACACGTCAGTCGCGCGAAAATTCTTAGCGTTTTTAGACAAATGCCAATTATTGTTCGCTGCTCCCGTATCAGTCACTATACAAATTTCACGCGCGCGACATCATCATCGTCATCACGAATTTTCAGCAACCAAATGACAACAAATAAAATAAAGTTGAAACATATTTTTTAAACATTAATATATCATCTCACTGTCGTCTTGTCTGGACTTGTGGCGGTTGCAATACCTCACTCCACATACGTGCAGACCAAGGTGTAAAAGTAGCCGTTGAGGTAGTGGTTGACGTATCTATGCAGGCGGCAGACGCCTGTCGTCTTGTAAACGAGAGTCAAGTGGTTCTCGTAGCACGGCAAGCAAGCAAGCCCAGCCTGCTTCTGGGTCGGGTCCACGTAGTCTATAATCACATCGAGTTTCGCATCGGCTAGTCGATTGGTGTGGAACTGCATAATCACGTCGAGCGAACCCTGAAGCGGGACGGCCATGTCTTCGTCCTGGTCCCCCGGAGGTGGGGGCTCGTCTTCGTGCTTCGGAGCGGAGGGCTCGTCCTCATCCTCCGGAGGAGGCGTCTCGACCTCATCCTCCGGAGGAGGCGTCTCGACCTCATCCTCAGGAGGAGGCGTCTCGACCTCATCCTCGTCCTCCGAAGGAGTGGACATGCCGCTGTCGTCATCTCCGTACTCACCTTCCGGAGCAGTGGACGTGTCCTTGTCCTTTTCCTTGTGCTCCGGAGAAGTGGGCGTGTCCTTGTCCTCGAGCTTCGGAGGAGAGGACATGTAGTCTTCGATGTCCGAAGCCGGTTCTTTATTTGCATTCTCTAGCGTGATTGTTTCTGGGACGCGCCGCGCTGTAATGGTGCCTCTTTTTTTCCTGTCCCAACTGACCACCGCCACGTCACCGTCATCGGATCCAGATTCGTCGACGCGACTGACCTTAGGCATTTTGCTGAGGCTCCTGCGCTTTTTCACGCTCGTGCCGTTCAGCTTAGTCGAACCCCTCCCTTTGACCTTTTTCCGTCTCGAACAGTTCGTAACGCTCGACTCAGGTAAACTCTTCTTGACGACCGGTTTCATCCTCGACCCGCTCGGCCCAAGCAAAGTGCTCTCGTCGCCACTAGGCGTAGTATCCGAATCACTAATATCGCCGTCATTGCCGGCACTAGCACTATCATCATCGTCGACACTAGCAATCTCATCATTGGCGGCACTATTATCTCTTGCAGCATTCTTTTTATGTCTCATATCTATCAAAGTATAACTTCCTTTGGACCATCTCTGCAATTCCATCGTTACTGCCGGAATCGTTTTGTTTACCGAATGCAGATCCAATCCCGTTAACCTTCCCAGATATTCAAAGGTAGTAGCTGATTTGAATATTTCATAAAATTCAGCCAACGTTGTTGGCAAGCTAGTCTCTTCTGCTACTTCGTAGTTGCAAACATCTGCTGGCCCTTTACTTATCCACTTGATTTTCTCAGATTCAATTTCCTTTGACAATGTCATATAGACTTCTTCCTCGAGGAAGTTTGCTAAAGATAGAACGGACTTTGTTTCAACCTCTTCCTGTATCTGCTTTATCATTCCTGGAATAAAATATTTGTCTGTTATCCATCCAAGTAAATTTACTGCAACATCTTCAGGCTCAATATAATTAATTACTGGCTTTGGCCGTTGTACTTTCTCCGATTGCACAACTGGACCATGAAACCAGCCATTGATACTCCATCTAATCTTATCCTTAGACCTTACTTCGGCTACCTGGTGATAAGAATTATTCGCAACTTCAAATATTACAAGAGAATTATATTCAGGAAGTAGTGATTTCACAACTTTCCTAGGTTGACCATATTTGTCAGTATCAAACAGTTCTAGAGCACCTCCATCTTCTTCTATCCAATTTTTTGACAGATACAAAATGAAGGCAATCTTCCGGTTACCTAAATTATCATCATGGCAAAGAAGGTGGTCAGTATCACTGTAACAAGAAGTTGACATAGATATTTGGCCATCCAGACTAATTTCTGTATTTTTCTGCATCCAATCGCATAAAGAACTTTGGAAACTATGATATAGAGATATTACATTTCGCCTAGATAATCTTGACAAGTCTCTTGACTGTCTAAACTGATACAGATCTAGGGACTTTCTTCGAGTGCGTACATCCTCTAAATCAGTTGTTAGTGCTTCTATAAAATTATCATCAAGAAAATTTGATATCTTACACACGCGAAAGGGTTCAGCGATGATTTCTAGGTCAGAATTTTTTAATGCAGTTTTACCATGCCAATGTCTGTAGAGTATTTCTTGAAATTCTGATTGAAAAATGTGCTCAGAAAATATATTGGAATGTTTGATTTTCTTCGACTTTGGTTCTTCAAATGCCATGGTCTTGTTTCTGCTGCAGCCTCAAATAATCAGAGTATTTATTGTCAATATATGCTCAATCAATATAACATATGTTACTGAAGCAATCTGGTCTTTGGTTTTCCGTGTTGATTTAGAATGCAAGTTCAGTTTTTTAGGAGCCACTTGAATGCTGTTGTCAATATCACATTTAGTTTAGGGGCATCGCTGAATGAATAGTGCTTGAAGCCTTATAATAAATTCAATTAATTTGATTAATTCTAGAAAACAGTGCTTCTTTTATTTCCAGTTACTTACTTAATAAAATTTCTTCTAGTCAGTAAATCTTCTCAGATAAAAAAACAGCTTAATTGTTGCACGTGCTTTTTTTACAACGACTTACAATAATCTTATTTTTAAAAGACAATTTAAATTTAGCGCCATTTACATGAGCCCCGGAAACGTGGTAGCAGCAATTCTTTTTCGTACGTCGATTATTTTTCGAAAATTGTGACAACGTGCTCTCACCTTATGAAACGTTAAATCTTCAAAAACTATGTAAACACTCTTGAACGACGAAAATAGCAAAAATAACTGTTTTAAAATTGTATTATTTGTTTAAAAATGATCTCAGCATTTATCAAAACATCAGTTCATAGAAAATCAAGTGTATCGGCCCACGTGGTCGGCTCGTTGCTGCTCACTCGTGTTTGAGTTTGGAAATGAAGTTTTCTGCAATAATATCGCGAGTTTCAGCAACTTAAAATAACTTGTATGTCGTAAGAAAGCGCGTGCAAACGAAATAATAATGACTGTAGATAATTTTTAAAGGAACTCACCTGAGAAGTGTGCACGTCGCGTATTGTTTTTTTGCAAAATAAAGACTCAGACGTACCGGTGTTCCATATCGTATAGTAGTTCTATGTGTAGTGCGGCCGGTGTCCGAGTAGAGCGGGGCGAGTACTTAACCTGTCTACTGCTTGCTTTGAAAACATTGATCCGACAATGCCGACTCGGCCAATCGCGTAATACTCGACTCGCGGTACCCGCAACGTGCTTGTTCGAAAATGATCACGCGCTCCGAGCTTTCTTGTGCCTTTGCGCAATGCTCATTGCACAATTTCTCATCGTATAGTTCATCGAAAATTGCTATATAATGCACGTACACTGACAACAATCAGGGAGGTACCACGAACTGTATGACCGCCTATAGTGACTACGATCCTGAGTCATTTACGCAGATGTGTAGGAATAACATGCTGCTGTTTGTATCAAAATACTACCTTATACACATATATAGATTAATACCGTTGCTTGAAAAACGTACTCTCACCTCTAGATGCGAATATGTATATGTCGTACATTACATACGGAATTGATTTATTTGTTTTGGTTGAATCCTAACCTAAACGATTTCGGCAATGGAAAATAAACATTTTAATACGCTCAGTACTATCCACATTTTACGCATGAATTTTTTTATATATCGGAAAGCATGCTCGATACACGTCTACATCGTTTTATAATATAAAACCTATTTATATCACCACGACTTTCATCAATTTGGCACGCTCTGCGTAAAGTTATCCCACTCTAATTATTATTTCATTAAATATACATTGAATGAGGAGTGTACGATCAACGTATTTCCTTTAAATTTGTTCATTGAATAAAAATAAATGTAGCAATAATTTTTGGAACACTTAATAGAAGCTCTAGAGCAGCGTAAGCTCGTATGCTTGTCGATGTAATTTATTTTTATTCGAGAAGCGATTACGCAGGCGTGCGTAATGTATAATGCTGAATCATAATGAGTTGAACCTTGAAAAGTGGAGCAGACTGAAATAATAACAATCCGAGTGCCTTGCTTTCGAATAGGTAGTTTATAGGATGACATAATACACGCGTGTACGTATACGTAAAAAAGGAGACACGCGGTCGTGAAACCCCTCACTTTCGTTGAAAAACCGCGCGCGTTACTTTTTTCGGACACATGATTATAGTCGCGTTCGCGGTGACCAACGGCTGGCTGGCGACCTCCCGTTGTATTGAGCGAATGCTCGCGAGAGTGCGCTCTCGGTGTCAGTAACTAACCAACACAACACCACGACAAAACAGCGATCTCGGCCAGCTCAAGCAGGGCAGCTGGCAGCGGGAACTGGAACTGCCAAGCCGATTGTCGAGCGACTCGAGTTGAGTTGCCTCAGCACGGCCTACGAGAGTCGAGTCCAGTGCGCCACAGGCACCAGAGAGCACGACAATATGGCTGTTCAGTCAAGGCCCGCTGCTACTGCTGACGATTGGTGTGTGCGTGTGCGTTAGCTGCGGCGAACCCGGCACACCCTCGTCCTAAATTGTCGGTGTCGAATGAGAGACGTATACTCGCCACGAAGTCGCGTGAGTCCTTGCTTGGCAGTTCGCGAGTCAGCTCGAGTGTAGCATTAGGCAAAGCGCGCGCAGAACCTGGTCAGCCGAAGCATCCATTGGCAGGAGTGCAGACAGGTCCGCTCGAGATTCACACGTGAGTACCCGTGCACACTTAAGTACTCGGTGGTACAGACTGACTATTGAACGCACGCCAGACTACAACCTATGTATACCCTAGACGGCTCCCCGCTTCTCACAACCTGCCCGATAACCTCTCTTTAACGATATATTATGCAGTCTCGCACAGCACACAACGAATAATTTATTCTGCTGGCTGTTGTTCGATACGAAAGTGCCAAGTAGTTGACATCCTTTCGCAGGAGAGCTACGGCCAACGACGACAGCCTCAGCTTATCCGTTCGCGGCTGTAGCGCGCGCGTGCTTATGAGCCTCTGTCTATCCATGTACGCGAGCGTGTCATACGCATGTAGAATATGCGAATGCACTCTCGCACGAGTGAGCAACCTCTTTTTGGCCTGCGTTCATCGGCCGTGTACGTGCTCGTGAAATCTCGACTCTGTTATGCCTTTGGGAATGCGCCACGCCGTCTCCTCTTAGCAGTACGTTTATTATTGAAGAGAACGCCACAGGGCCGCGATTACATTGTGTGGACTTGGACAGCATTGGATATACAAGTAGAGGCGTGTTATGACCGATTCGCAGAGGATACGTGATTGTTCCGCTCCACAAGGGCCTGAATAAATATATAGATACTGACAGGCAAAGCCGAGCGCTGCACAAGTCACGTTGGCTCGTGGTGTGGTTTCGTTCCCGGATTGCCGGGTCCCTGCAATTCATCATGTACGGCTGTCCTCTTTTACGTGATAGTCTCCGTGCGTGCATGCACGCGTCTGTTCTCTGCTCCCCGCAGTGACGGGCATGAATTTGGCAAAATAAAGGGTAATGCCGCAAGTGAAATAACAATCGGAAAGGTCGATCGGTGCACGTTCGAGCGAGTTTAGGTTAAACGCCATCTTTTTGGCCATCGCTCGGTCGCCGCAACATGCTGCACAACGTGCACGGCAGGTTGAACCGTGAGCGTGCATGCCACCCGCGAGCCGAACCTGCAACTTTCGAAAATTACGCACCATCGAATTGGCGCAACGCGATCGCGCGCCAAATACGACCAATCGCGCTGTCGCGGTTGCTCTCCTTCTATTCCGGTTTTAAACAGATACCTCGCGTTACGTGGATCAATGAATACAAGCAAAGCAAGGAGAAGCGCTTTTCGATTTCGGTGCCGCGAGCCTCTCACAGGAAGGAACTCGCGTGCTGCGGCCTTGAACGGGACTCGCGGGATGCGCGCGCCTCCTCTCTCTCTCTCTCTCTCGCTCTATCTCTATCTCTTTCTCTTTCTCTCTTACTCTCGCTCGCTCGCTCTTCTCTTTGACTCTTGCGCGGCGCGAGAGTTATATAGTTAGTTGTATCTGGAGAAAGCAGAGACATTGTGTACGTGTTATATACGCGTTATGTAGCTGGTCTTCCGCCAGAGAGAAGCATCGCAGTCGGCAGGCCTGCTTCGTCCCGTCCGATCTTTTCTTTCAAGGATATTCGTGTATATCCGAGATGAGAATTAACGAGGCTTACGGGAAGTACCTCATTGCCCGCACAGCCTAATACTCCACATTCTCTCTTGACATACTTGGCTTTTAAGCTTCTCCATGCTATCTTTTTACAGAAATTCTCGCAGCGATGTTCGCCTCCTGAGTAACACCGCTTCCTGTTTTGCTCGTCGAGTTTATCGATCTTCGCGTGTCAATCCAATCCGACTGTCTAAAATCTGCCTTGCGCTGATAATTCCTTGATTGACAATAGATGACAGCAATTATCGGCAATAATAATCTACTTTATTCCCGACACTTCAATCAGTATTTTATCGTATCGCGTTTTCCAAAAAGATAAAGTAGCGAGACTAAAAATCATAGCAATCAATGCGATTAATTGCATCATGATATTTCTATGAACGAGAGCTAATCGAAAGTACATCTGCGTAACATCGAACTGGCAGCTTAGTCATAAAACGCCAAGATGCAAGCGAAAGCGTCGTATTAGAGAGCAGAAAGAAAGGATAAAAGGCTCTGATAGGCGTGCACGTGTATACGGACGCACGTAGGTAATACGCGCTGCACTGCATATCGATCCCTTTGTTCTTGCGCTTGCAGGCAGAGCGACGAGCGTCGCCGCGGGCTCTGCACTTCTATTCCGCAGATGTATTCGCGGCTAGCTGTTGAGGTGCGATCGATAACGGCGCGGCATGGCCGTCAGTCAGCCGTCCCTGGATACGAAACAAGCGTTTATCGCGCTTGCGACCGACTGTCGTTCAAACGCCATCGTTGATCGCCGACTACTTCCTAGCTAAGGCTAATCGAAGTGCTTCGCAATTAACGGTCGCAATGTCTCAAAGCAGGCCTGATGAATGATGCCAAGTAGGCACCGTAAGGGCGATCGCTCGGCAGCACTGTCATCGCCACATTCTTCGGGCGAGAAGCAAGCTAAGCGTTGCGCCGCGCTGCATCGTCTAGAAACGCTAGGGAACGCGAACGCGCTTGCTGCGACTCGGCTCGTCGTCGTCGTCGTCGTCGTCGTCGTCGTCGTCGTCGTCGTCGTCGTCGTCGTCGTCGTCGTCGTCGTCGTCGTCGTCGTCGTCGTCGTCGTCGTCGTCGTCGTCGTCGTCGTCGTCGTCGTCGTCGTCGTCGTCGTCGTCGTCGTCGTCGTCGTCGTCGTCGTCGTCGCGGGAGCTACCGAAGGCTGGGAAAGACGCCGCAGCGCCGAGCGCAATTCGTAATCGTAACGGGACGCGGAGCCGCGCTGCCGTTTTCCCGTGAGAACGTTGCGGCGCGGCTCGAGGACCGTGCCGAATGCGCGAGCCCCCCGTCTATGGTCGCTCAACAGCCAGAGATCGAGGCGAGCGGCCACTCTCCTGGTCGCTGCTACTTGCGAGTCGACGCAACGCATTCGTACGACGCTTTTGGACAGAGAGCGCAGCTCTCGCGACGTCAACGCTGCTCGGGCTAGGCAGCCAGAATGAGGGAGCTCGCGCTCGATAAGGCGCTCGCTTGGCTCCAACTGCAGGCCGCGCGCTGATCGAAAAATCGGCCGACGGGCTTTTGAAAAAACCCGTAACAACCGAACGTCGTTTCGCACTTGGGCCGCGCCAGAATCGTGTTCGCATTGATATTTCCGTCGGCTAATCAGCATTTCGCTGCACACGACGACTAGCCCATTCGAGTTGGTAGCGGAGCTTGCGCGCGTACACTTCGCCGCTAAATGTAGCCGGCAACCGGAAATGATAGGCCGCCGGCTCTGAACGATTTTCCACGTGTCGCGGTAGTTCGCCTTGTGCGATCGAGCGCCGACGAAAGCACCGGGAAGCGAGCAGAGAAAAGGCGGTCGTTCGCGCGACGATTCGCCGCGGTAGAGCCGCTTGGCATGCGAGCGCAGCGATATATGCATCGTCTCGGAGCTGCCAGTCATAAGCGCACGTGCGCTTGCCGAGGAAAGAGTGGGCGCCCGAGTCGAGCTCGCTTTTTCCCTTTTCCCTTTTTCGGAAATCCGGTTCTCTCTCGGCGACTCGCCAGCAGCAGCAGCGGCAGCGGCAGCAGCGGCGGCAGCAGCAGCGACCCGCCAATTCTCCGATACGACGCCAAATCTCCACGATTGCGCGCCTCTGTCTGCTCGAGGGCGGCTCGTCCTCGTGAACCACTTGGCACTTTCCCTGCGTTAGACGGCGAAACACCTTCCCTTTACGTGAACTTCATACTAGGACAGTCTGACTGGAAAACTCGACTGACGACTACCCGCTCACCTTGTTGTGTTTACGTACGTGCTATTATTAAGATTGATGTGTTCTAACGAGGTATGGCGCACGATAATACATGTTTACTGGTATTCGGAAAACATCGCTCTCGGCTGCAACAGTAGCCATTCGAATCGGACTACGGATTCTATTTGATGTTGAAGCTGCTTGCTTACTGCTAT